AAGATTACAACCTTGGAGGACCTGCATTTTAACTTTCTACCTAACTCCCTGATCTTCTGCTGCAGGATCACACCACTCATCCTACCTATGTTGTTAGTACCAATATGTACCACAACCTCTGGCTGCTCACCCTCTCCCTTCAGACTGCTTTCTGCCTGTTCAGAGACATCCTGGGCCTTGGCACCAGGGAGGCAACACACCATCCTGGATAACAAGGTGTAGAGCTGGATGAACACAGCAGGCCAGGCAGCATCATAGGAGCAGTCTCTTTTACATCCACAGAAGCGCCTATCTGTACCCCTAACTATAGAGTCCCCTATAACTACTGCTGTATGTCCTTCCCTTAAGAACAGAGCTAGCTGTGGTGCCACCAGTCTGGCTGCTGCTGCTGTTACCCCCTGTTAGGTCATCCCCCGCCACCCTCCCCAACAGTATCTAAAGTGATATACTTGTTAGAGAGGGGGACGACCACAGGGGGATTCCTGCACTGGCTACCTGCCCTTTCTAGCGATTTCCCCCATCTACCTGCCTGCACCTTGGGTGTCACCACATCTCTAAAACTCCTGGCTATGATGCTTTCCACCACACTCATGCTCCTAAGGGCATCTAATTGCCGCTCCAACCTATCCATGCAGTCTGTGAGGAGCTGCAATTGGGTGCACTTCCTGCAAATGTAGTCATCCAAGATGCTGGAAGTGTCATGGATCTCCCACATCTCACAAGTGAAGCACTTAACTCTACTGACTGACATTTCTATCCCCAATCAAGCTGTTTAAGAAAATGTATTACTTACCACTGCAAATACGCGAGGTAGGTCTTCCTTCACTTATCTTCCCTAGATGCTCCCTGGATATCTCCCTTTCCCCATACTTCTCATCCTCACAGTGGTGTCTGTGTGCCTTTTTTAGGTTAGAGGAGGGGGTACGGAGGGAAACACTAAGGAACTGTTTGGGGTTGAACTGTCACATGAGAGCAGTCCCTCCACAAACCACCTTCTGAAAGCAGTGACTGCACTGATGCAGATCTTCCCCACATCAACCAATCAGCGTCACCACTCTGCTGCACTCTTCAAGGGTGGGAGTCAGAGGTTGGGAATCAGAGTGTGCGAAAGAGAGGGGCAGAAGCAGTGGACGAGAATTAGAGGATGCGAAACAGTGTTTCTCATCCTCCCTTTCTGCACCAGAGGATGGGAAGCAGAAGGGTGAGGGACAGAGGGGTGAAGGACACCTTCCTGGGAAGGTGGGACCTGTACAGGAAGGACGGATTGCACCTGAACTGGAGGGGCACCAATACCCTGTGTGGGGGGTTTGCTAGAGGTCTTCGGGAGGATTTAAACTAGTTTGGCAGGGAGATGGGAACCGGAGCTACAGATCAGAGGATGGGGTAGCCAGTGTACAGGCAGATAGAGCATGCAGAGAATCTGTGAGGAAGTATAGACAGTGACAGGGCAAAGTTGCAGTCAGTGTGATGGGTTGAGGTATGTCGATTTTAAGTGTCAGGAATAAGGGTGATGAACTGAGAGCATGGATCAGTACTTGGAACTACGATGTTGTGGCCATTATGGAGACTTGGATAACACGGGGGCAGGAATGGTTGTTGAATGTTCCAGGGTATAGATGTTTCAAAAGAAATAGGGGGGGAGGTAAAAGAGGTGGGGGAGTTGTGTTGCTAATCAGGGATGGTATCACAGCTGCAGAAAGGGAGGTCATGGAGAAGGGTTTCTCCACTGAGTCAGTATGGGTGGAAGTCAGAAACAGGACAGGAGCAGTCACTTCATTGGGAGTTCTCTATAGAACCCCCCCAATACCAACAGAGACACTGAGGAACAGATTGGGAGGCAGATTTTGGAAAGGTGCAGAAGTAATAGGGTTGTTGTCATGGGTGACTTCAACTTCCCAAATATAGGCTGGAACCTCCTAAGTGCAAGTAGTTTGGATGGAGCAGATTTTGTCAGATGTGTCCAGGAAGGATTTCTGACTCAATATGTAGATAGGCCGGATAGAGGGGAGGCCATATTGGATTTGGTGCTTGGCAATGAACCAGGCCAGGTGTCAGATCTCTCCGTGGGAGAGCATTTCAGTGATAGTGATCACAACTCCCTGACCTTTACTATAGCCATGGAGAGGGATAGGAGCAGACGGTATGGGAAAGTATTTAATTGGGGGAGGGGGAATTACAATGCTATTAGGCAAGAACTGCAGAGCATAAATTGGGAACAGGTGTTCTCAGGGAAATGCACGACAGAAATGTGGAGGTTGTTTAGGGAGCAGTTGCTACAAGTACTGGATAGGTTTGTCCCACTGAAGCAAGGAAAGGATGGTAAGGTGAAGGAACCTTGGATGACAAGACATGTGGAACATCTAGTCAAGAGGAAGAAGGAAGTTTATTAAAGGTTAAGGATTGGACAGGGCTCTAGAGGTGTACAAGGTAGCCAGGAAGGAAGTGAAGAATTGACTTAGGAGAGCTAGAACGGGGTATGAGAAAATCTTGGCTGGTAGGATCAAGGAAAACCCCAAGATGTTCTATGCTTATGTGAGGAACAAAAGGATGGCCAGAGTGAGGGTTGGGCCGATCAGGGATAGTTGAGGGAATTTGTGCCTGGAGTCAGAGGAGGTAGGAGAGGTCCATAATGAATACTTTTCTTCACTATTCACCAGTGAGAGGGACCTTGACGTTTGTGAGGACAGCATGGATCAGGCAGATATGCTCGAACAGGTTGATGTTAGGAAGGAGGATGTGCTAGAAATTTTGAAAAACATGAGGATAGATTAGTCTCTGGGCCAGATGGGATATACCCAAGCTTGCTATGGGAAGCGAGGGAAGAGATTGCTGCCCCTTTGGCGATGATCTTTGCTTCTTCACTGTCCACTGGAGTAGTATGAGATGATTGGAGGGTGGCAAATGACATTCCCTTGTTCAAGAAAGGGAATAGGGATAATCCTGGGAATTACAGACCGGTCAGTCTTACTTCTGCGGTGGGCAAATTATTGGAGAGGATTCTGAGCGATAGTATTTATGATTATTTGGAAAAGCACAGTTTGATTAGAAATAGTCTGTATGGATTTGTGAGGGGCAGGTCATGCCTCACAAGCCTTATTGAATTCTTTGAGGATGTGACAAAACACATTTGTAGAGCAGTGGATGTGGTGTATATGGATGTTAGCAAATCATTTGATAAGGTTCCCCATAGTAGGCTCATTCAGAAAGTAAGGAAGCACGAGGTTCAGGCAAATTTGGCTGTCTGGATATAAAGCTGGCCATCCAATAGAAGACAGAGGGCGGTAGTAGATGGAAGGTATTCAGCCTGGAGCTCGGTGACCAGTGGTGTTCCGCAGTGATCTGTTCTGGGACCTCTGCTCTTTGTGATCTTTAGAAATGACTTGGATGAGGAAGTGGAAGGGTGGGTTAGTAAGTTTGCTGATGACAGGAAGGTTGGTGGAGTTGTGGATAGCATGGAGGGCTGTTGTAGGTTGCAACAGGACATTGACAGGTTGCAGAGCTGGGCAAAGAAGTGGCAGATGGAATTCAACCCAGAAAAGTGTGAAGTGATTCATTTTGGAAGGTCGAATTTGAATGCAGAATACAGGGTTAATGGCAGGATTTTCAGCAGTGTGGAGGAACAGCGGGATATTGGGGTCCATGTCCATAGATCCCTCAAAGTTGCTAGCCAAGTTGATAGAGTTGTAAGGAAGGCGTACGGTGTGTTGGCTTCCATCAGCAGGGGAATTCAATTCAAAAGCCACGAGGTTTTGCTGCAGCTCTATAAAACCCTGGTTAGACCACATTTGGAATATTGTGTTCAGTTCTGGTCACCTCATTATAGGAAGGATGTGGAAGCTTTAGAAAGGGTGCAGAGGAGAATTACCAAGATGCTGCCTGGAATGGAGGGCAGGTCTTATGAGGAAAGGTTGAGGGAGCTAGGGCTTTTCTCATTGGAGCGAAGAAGGACGAGAGGTGACTTGATAGCGTTGTACAAGCTGATGAGAGGCAGAGATAGAGTGGATAGCCAGAGACTTTTTCCCAGGGCGGAAATGACTACTACGAGGGGGCATAATTTTAAGGTGATTGGAGGA